TATTGGGGTGGAATTTGAGAATGAAAAATTAATCGTGTTCTTTCGGGAGAGTATCCCAAGTTCGAGAGAGTATCTCATATTGTATTTTTCCCATTTGTTCACACTTCCCTACATCAGCCAGCCACGGTATTCGGAGCTATACTCCGACTAATCCGTTGGTCGACCCGGGTCGCACACCTGACAGTGGTGGGTGAGTCTCCCAATAAGAATTTTCTGCATCCACAAGGACTCGAACCCGAGACCTTACTTAAGCGACATCAAGCTGCTTACCACTTGAGCCAACCCCTATTGTTATATCAATGTATTTGATGTTCCTCTCTCTATATATGTGCTTTGGAAAATGGAAAATAGTTTCTTATAATTTGTATCTGCAAAATGGTACTGAGCGCTCCATTCCATATGTTGGTCACCCCTGAAACAAACAAATGGAAAGGAAACAAGAAAAACAACATATAAATTAAAATAAAATAATAAATCTCATGTCATCTTATAACAACAACACGTAACAAACAAAATTATTATATATAGGTAGGGCTAATCAAAGATTGGGACATTCTACCTAAATCTATCAACAGCTGTCATATGTGATTACTTTATTACATAATAATAATAATAATAATAATAATAATAATAATAATAATAATAATAATTCCAATTAATCCTCAAAGTATATATATATATAACTCACAATTATACATTTTTTTTTTGTTATATATCTTTTTTTTTTTTTTCTTTTGAAGACTATATATCTATTTTAAGTAATGCTTTGTTGCCGGCATATTTTACATCCACAGCTCACATTTTCGGGCTGGAAGAAGAAAAATGAAGGCAATGTGTGAATATTAAATAAAAACTTTAAACCTATGTTACTCTAATGAATTAAATAATGTGTATTCTCTATATGTGTTAATAATAACTTTTAAAATAAAACTCATCATCTATAAAAAAAAAATGGACAAATTCAATGGTGGGGGCTTAAGTAAACTTGTATGATAGCGATTCAGGCACAGAAGGTGGGAACTTGCCCAACCTATTTTCTATTTATTTATTTTTTTATTTAATTGAATTATTATGATAATAGTTAATGTGAATAAGTACAACAAAATTGTTATAAAATACGGGGAATATAAAGAACACAATGTAAAAACCGGATACAGATTATAAGGCACTTTCTTTCACTTTTTCCGTTCACTGAAAAATGTGTACACAAATGTACTACATTTGTTGCCTTTTTATAGGCAAACATGGCACACTCTTCAATACATATATTAATATAATAATGAAAGTGATAATGTGGTTAATTCCACATATTTACAATACTCCCCCTTGGAATTACCACTATTAAATGTGCGTTTATGTTGCCTCGTTAAAAACTTTATCTGGAAAAACCCTGTGGGAAAAAAACCGAGATAAGGAAAAAAGAGTACAGCCGCACATACTCTCCCTCGAGTTATCATCTGTACAAATCCCGAAGATGTCTCATTCCAATGTTGTGTACGTGCTTTCGAAACTAATTGGTCGGAAAAAGTGTGTGTTTTATATATTTATTAGCGTATTTTTATATGTTTGATTTTACCGCACTTATATGTTTTTCGACCTATTTATTATTTGGATGGATTTAAGTACTATGATATTTTTATGATTTAATTTCAGTATATTGGCGTATTTTTGTGGATGGCGAATCAAAGTCGATAAACTATTGGGCCATAATTGCTGAATTTATGTGGAGGATCATTGATTTTGGAGAGTTGCAAGGTGTTGGGTGAACTTTTGGACTAAACATTAATTAGAGAGGAGTATTATTTGGGCCATGGATAAACCTTAATTGAGGCCCATTTTGTGTGGAGCTTATCAAGCTAGGAGAGATTAAGGCCAAAGTACATAACTAACCCCCAAATAAATCAATATTCTATAGAAGGTATAGGAGACATAGAATTCCAAAATTGCTTGAATACTTTCAATTTAATATAACCGTCTGAAAGAAACCATCTGATAAGAACTATCTTATCTCTTTTCCTCTCTCTCTCTTCCCGTTTTTTTTTTCTTCTCTCTCTTTCATTTATTCTCTTCTTCTTCTTCTTCCTTTTTCTTCTTCAATCATTAATGCCTAAAAAAACACTAAAAAAAAAAATATTGATCAATATGTTATATACATACATAACAATTAAATTATCTAGAAAAGCAACACAAAAGTTTTGTTATTGCAACATAATTTTTAGAAAACAACAAACAAGATACAATGAAACAACAATACACTACTTATCAGTAATATGAAAACAACTTTGTACTAAAATTAAATATTTACAATTAATTTTTATAACAAATATGTGAGATTGTAAATTTTACAACAAAATAATCAACATTACAACATTCATTAACACATAAATTCAGATTTCATAACACAAATAAAAATTTTATGCCTTAAAAGGATCATCAGTATATGGCAGTTAGAAAAATTGAAATTTTATTTAGCAATTATCAAACTAATTACAAACATAAAGATGCAGAGAATATAATTTAACACAGTTACCTTCATTTAAATAGGAATTTTGTTTTTTACGAAAAAAAAGGAACTTTGTTAACATATTCCTCATAAAAAATTGTTCATCATGATAATAAACATAAAAATTCAATCGCACTGTTTCAGGAACATCACGCAGGCGCCTCGTCCTCCGAACTTCTTAGGCTCGCTGCTTCCGGGATTGCAAGCCTGTTAAGACGCCGAGGTGTGACTTGGCGAGGGAAGAAGAAGAAGAATATGGAAAAGGGGATGAAGAATGAGGACAGGGCGGTCGTGGAATCTCCAGAAAAGGAAAGGACGAGAGCTTGTAGAAAAATGGGGATTGAGTGGTTTCGGAAATGTGAGAAAGAAAGAATAAGAAGAAAGAGGGTAAGAAAGAACGATGGAAGGAAAAACGGTCAGAAGGAAGATAAAGAAGAAGAAAACCTTCGTTAAAAAAATGACTTTAAAAAAAGCAAAATAGTAATATAATGGAGTAGATTTGGAATACACCATTAGCTATATTAATTAAGGAATAATATATTCTAAAAAGATATGCAGTGTCTTTAATTCAGAGATTAATTAAGGACTTTGATTTGAGGAAAGAAATAACTAAAGGCTTGTACACATTCAATTGTTGGGCCTGGGAGTGAACTCACGAGAGGAAATAATTTGGCTTGTGAGAGCATTATTTTTGGCAGCCACTAGGACACGGGAGAGAGGACTCATATTTAGCCAACATATTTTTATTTACGGAAAAGATGAAGAGGAATTAAAAGGGAACAGAGGAAGAAAAGACAGAGCCGCCAACACGAGAGAAAGGAGACGCACGTACGCGAAGAAGCCGATCAAAAGCGGAGGGAGGCCGCACCTGTACACGAGGGAGATAATTAATCTCTCTTTTTATCTTTTTATTTTTATTTATGATGTTAGGCTAGTTTTTATTCTAGTTCCGGGGAAGTTGAACCCTACGACTTGATGATGTTTGATTAATTTATGGTTGATTATTGAGTTATCTTTTTGGAATTGTTTGGGTTATTTTGAATAATTAACCATGATGTGTTGAGTCTTATTTAGATTGATCACCTAGATTAGGCTTTTCATATCTACACCTGAATTAGGCTTTCAATCCGTAATTGTTGATGTGTTTAATTCGCAAGTGGTATCCGGAAGATGGTAACTACCGGGGATAACACGGCCTATTTAAGTGAACGAATGCGTCACTACTTAGTCTAGCCTATTTTTCTAATACGTAAAGCGGCTGATTGTATTAAATCTAAGAAGCGTCTTCTAGACTGTACAAGAAGTCAGGTTTAATCGTTGAGCGTCTCACGGTTAAATTAAACTTAAGGAAAAATTTGGGTAATAGACCGTGTCGTTGCCTAGGGCTAGTAATTTCATAAGATAGCGAGATTTGATACCAAAGTTGATTAGACGAATCAGTCGAGGGTGTAGACGGAATCGTGAACTAGAAATTTCTCTTTATTCAGTCTATTTTATTTTTATTTTCTAGTTTAGATTTTATTTGCTTTTGTTAATTTAGTTCTTAAAATCAAAACCCTCCCTTCTTTTATTGCTTTTATATTTCAATTAATACGAGAAAATTCACGATTCGATTCACACTTCCTGTGGGATCGACCCTTACTCACCACTACTACTAGTTAGTAGAGGTTAGTCGAGGAAAATATAAATTTTAATTTTGCTGCGTTGCGACGCGCGGTCAAATTTTGGCGCCGTTGCCGGGGAGTAGTGTTATTGAATTGTGATTTTTAACTACTAATTGAATTATTATTTTTTTTAGGATTTTATTTTTATCATCTTTTACCCCTCTATTTTTCTTTGTTTTTATTTTTCTTGCAGAATACTGGGCGCCCCCATACTGCTGGACAGACCCCCATACTCGGGACATTACCTAATCTTTGGGCGATTTTGATCGAGCTTGGCAATTTTTCGTGATGGCAACCTATTATCACAACTTTTATACCCACCAGGCACCTTACCAATATGAGAGGGAGATGAGAGGCCCGTGGATTGGAGATCGGGACGTAAGAGAACCTAATGGTTGTCGAATGAATGAGCCAGACTACTTCTATACCAATGAGTATGGATACCACTTGAGAGAGCACTCGTACTCTTTCTATGGGTACTCCGAGCCACCAATTGCGAGAGATCCCAGCCCGTCTGTGGAGGATATGGTGAATGCATTCGCGACTAACACGTTGAGATTTCGGCAAGAGTTCTGTGAGCCATTAATTGAAAGAGATCCTGGTCCATCGCTCGAGGATATGATGATGGAGTTGACGTCTCACACCCTTAACTTTCAGCAAAGCATTGAGGCTAGCATCAAAAGCCAAGAACTGAGCATCAAGAACCAAGAGGAGAGCATCGAGAACCATGGACTGCGCATAAGGAATTTACAAGTTCATATGAGCCAATTGGTGGAACAAATGGACCGACTAGTGTATCGGCTCGAAACAAGTCCAATGAGTTCGAGCGTCACCAATTCGTGCTGTGAGGATCTAGAGGAACCTGGAGAGTGTACATACGAGTTGGAGAACGGAAAAATCACGAATATAGAGAAAGCAGAGTCGAAGCAGCAGAGTACTGGGGTGCCCCGTACTCCACTTGCTGGACCCAGTACTCGACCTGTTGGAGCCAAAAGGCGTACCGTTCTCCCCGCTCTTGTGCCGATAGAAGCTGAACCTTGTCTTATCTCTTCCAATATGAAGTGGGTACTGAGCGAGGATGCACTGAAGCATGTCTTGGGCCTTGATATACCTTCCCTTGAGACGATCGAGCAGAATGAAAGGTGCAAATGGGAGTTTGATGAGACGGTGACCGTGATTGAGCATGGATTGACATACATACATGAGGAATCAGCGCCATGGAGGAAAGATCCGGTGAAGCATTCAACACCGAGGATATGGGATGTCGTCAAGCATGGTGTGGTGAGATTTGTGGCTCCCTTGAGGCCACCCTGGAAGCCACCATGGACCATTTGATGAAAGAGAGCAATAAGTCGGGCCAACGACAATAAAAAGAGGCGCTTGTTGGGAGGCAACCCAATGGTGTGCGTTGTTCGGTCGACTTCTTCCTCATTGACTAAGGTGAACTCGTTTTTTTTACCTCTGTTTTTGTGCTTTTGTGTTTATTTGAGTGTCAATGATTTATGCAAGCTCTAAGTTTGGGGAGGTGGTTTCTTGGTGAGCATTCATAATTTATTATGTGATTATATTTTTGCCCCTTAGAGTTTGAGTTCTTATATTGTTTGCATGTTATTTGCTTGTATTTGAGCATGAGATTGCATACGTGGAATTCTGCGATGATAACATGAGAGTTGGTTTGAATTTATTGTGCTAGTTTAAATGGCTTGAGTTGATTTTATTTGGTTAAATTCTTAAGGTGTTTTTATTTTGGGGACAAAGGCATGATGGTTGAT